ATGCTGGGGTTCATTTCCCAACCACAGAATGGTCCAGGCATAGGATGAAAGATGTTGGAAAGGTTTCTTCAGGGTGGGGATCCAGCCATATCCCATGGGTGCTGGAGGATGGGTATGCAGTCACATCCATGGAGATGATGGATATGATTTCCCAACCATGGTTATAAGGTTTAGCCACAGCCCTTGAGACACTGGGCAGGCTTCCCCAACCACAATGTAAAGGTTCTGTCACAACTCCAAGAAGATGGTGGAGGTGGCTGCCCAGCCACAGGATGTGTGTGCATTCACACTCCATGAAGATGTTGGATGTAGTTTCCCAACCACAATAAGATGTTCGGCCACACCCCACATTGATCCGGGAGGTGGTTTCCCAACCACAATATGAGAGTTCAGCCACACCCCTCAAAGATGCCAGCGGTTTCCCAACCACAATGTAAGGATATTCAGCTCCATCCAATGAAGATGGTGGAAATGAATTTCCAACCATTGTGTGAATGTTTAGCCACACTCCATGAGGGCCCTGGAGGTGGTTTTCCAAATACAGAATGTTCAGTCACAGCCCATGAAGATGCTGCAGGTGGTGCAGTGGATTGCAGTGGACTGGTGGTCAACTGAAACACCAGCTGAGCTGAATCAGTGCAGTGCTGAATGTAGATGGCCCACCTGAGGGCAGCTGCCAGCATAAACAGAAGCAGTGAGGAAGCACTGTAGGTTCTACTAAGTGTTGTTGTTTGGGGCCATTGCTTGTTTGGGGCCATTGGTGAGGATGGTTGCAGTTTACTTTGGGGAAGCTCTGGTCTTACTTTGAGCATTGCTTCCTGACTCCAGAGGGGCAGCTGTGTGCCGTTCAATCTTTAGGAGAAGCTTGTCATGCTGGTTTCCTGTTACATGCTCAGCTATTCCCATTGTCAGAGGAGCTCTGGACCTCACAGTTGCTGAGGATGACTGTGGTACATTTCAGGGGAGCCCTTGTCCTTACTTCAAGTGTTGCTTCTTGGCTCCAGTACAGCTCCTTCAATCTGCATGCACAGACCTTCTAGCTTCTACCACTGACCTTTGTGCCTTCCCAATGCAGATCCATGGAAAAGATTTGCATGAGTCGTTGTTGTGGGCTCTAGGTTTTTAGATAAACTCATGCAAGTTGTTGCCAGGGGATCCAGGCCCTTGGCTGGATTTTCTAGGTCTTTAGCATTGTGGACAGACTTCTGCACTTTGATTCCTTGGGTGGCCATTATAAATACTATAAATTATGTGTCCTCAATGTAATTGTTCTCCTTGAAACCACTGACTACAACAGATGGTTTCCCAACAAGTGTCAAAGTTTAGGAATACTCAAGAATAGTATTATGGAGGTGGGTTCCCAACCATGGTGTGAATGTTCAGTCACAGCCCATGAAGATGCTGGAAGTGGCCTCCTAACCACAATGTGAACCTTCCATAATTAATAGTCATAATCTTGAAGGTCCTGGAGGAGCTTTCCCAATCATAGTGTGAATGTTCAGCCACACTCTGTGATGGCACTGGAGGTGTTTTTAAAACATTGTGGTGGTCCAGCCATAGCCCATGAAGACCTTGGAGGTGTTTTTCCAACCACAGAGTGAATGTTCAGCTACAATCCAGAAAGATGGTAAATGTAGTTTCCCAGCCACAAAATGGTCAGCCACTCCCCCTTGAAGATGATGGAGATGTTTTTCCAGTGACAGTGTGAAGGTCCAGTCACACCCTATGAAGATGCTGGAGGTAGTTCTCAACCACAGTGTGAAGGTTAGTCACATCACACTTCATGAAGACACCAGACATGGTTTCCCAAGCAGTGTGAAGCTTCAGGAATAATTTTAAGAATATTCTTGACTTGGTTTCCCAACCACAGTGTGAATGTCAAATAATAACCCCTGAAGATACTGGAGGTACTCTCCCAACCACAATGTGAGTCAGGCCACACTCCATGAAGAGCCTCCAGGTGGCTTCCCCACCACCGTGTGAATGTTCAGTCACAGATTATGAAGACACTGGAGGTGCTTTCCCAACACCAGTGTGAACTGTCAGCTCCAGCCCATAAAGATGCTAAAGGTGGTTTCCTAACCATAATGTGAATGTTTCCCCACACCCAATAAATGATGCTAGAGGTGCTTTCCCAACCAATTTGAAGGTCCAGTCACAACCCATGATGATGCTCGAGGTGATTTCTGTTGTACTAAAATGCTAAAAAACTAAAGTAGTTAAAAGATAAGTATTATCGATCCCCGGTACCGATAAAAAGGAAAAAGACACACAAAAAAAATAATTAGCAAAACTAGTTAAAAGGATAGTTATTAGCAGTATTGTCATTCTGTGCAGTGCTTGTTACCCTAGTAACCACACACCAACCACAGTTATAAATTAACTGACCGTGTCATCATGCTGTTCTGTATGCATCAGTTCCCCGAGGAACCTTATTGCTGTGTCAACTACTGTTCCCTTTTAAGAGACAAATGATGCTGTGTCAACCATGGTTCTCTTTGTGAGAGACAAATGTTCCTGGAATTGGCAGACCAAGGGCTATGAATTGGCTAACCACCCACTGTGAAATGCCTGACCTCAAGCAAAGGGGAACAAAGCCCACCTTGCTTCTGTTTCTCATTGCTATGCACTTAACGATCAATGAGCTAATCATAAATGAACTATAAAAATCTGTCAAAATTCTAACTCAGTTGCACAGCTTTGCAAACTCCATCTGCACTGTGCCGCTTGGGTACCAGCTTAAAGCACTCTTTTACAGATGTCTTGCCCCCCATTGTGATTAATATCTTGAGGCCTTGGAGTACAACAATTTCCAAATAATAATTTCCCATAATCTGAAGGTCCAGCCAGAATCCTTAACAATTCTCAAGGTGCTTTCCCAACCACACATTAGAAACCCATGAGGATCCTGGAAGTGCTGTTTCAGTCACAGTGTGGAGGTCCAGCCATACCCCATTGTTATGCTAGAAGTGCTTTCCCAACCACATCATCTAGGTCCAGTCACATGATATGAAGCTGCCATTTCTCAACCACAAAGTAAAAGTTCATCCACATCTTATGGAGTTACTAGAGATGGCGTCCCAACCAGTAAGGTTTAGGAATAGCCTAAGAATATTCTCAACTTGTTTTCCAACCACAATATGGAAGTCCAGCTATAATCCTTAAAAACAGTTGACGTGCTTTCCTAAACACAGTATGAAAGTTCAGTCACATTCCATGATGATCCTGGAGGTGGTTTCCCAAAGGCAGTGTAATGTCCAGCCACACAGCCCATGAAAATCATGGAGTTGGTTTCCCAACCATAGTATGACTATTCAGCCATGGTCCTTAAGACCACAACCCTTGAAGATTCTGGAGGTGGCTTCACAACCATGGGGTGAAGGTTTGGCCATCACAAGCCACGACGCTGCTGGAGGTCCTCACCAAACCACAGAGTGAAGGTTCAGCCACACCCTATTACAGTGCTGCAGGTGCTTTCCCAACCTCAGTGAACTTTTAACCAGCGCCCATGAAGATTCTGGTCCTTTTGCAACCAGTGTGAATATTCAGCCACAATCCATGAAGATGCTAGAGGTGCTCTCTGAACCAGTGTGGAGGTTCAACCACATCCCATGAAGAGGTGTTTTTCCAACCACAGAAAGTTCCCCCCCACCACAATGCTACTGAAGCTTTCACAACTGCAGTTTCAAGGTCCGGCCTCATCCCTTGATGATGCTGGAGGTTCTTTCCCAAACACAGTGTGAAAGTTCACTCACAGCCCATGAAGATCCTTGAAGTGGTTCTCAACCATAGTGTGAGTATGAAGCTACAGCCCAAGATGTGAAAGATGCTTTCCTAACCATAATCTACATGTTCAACCATACCCCCAGGATGACCCTGGAGGTGATCACACCAGAGTTTCTTTCCTAACCACAATGTGAATATTCAGCTACACCTGATTAAGATGCTGGAGTTAAGTTTCTCAACCACGGTGTAAAGGTTCTGCCCCATTGTGAAGATGCTGGAGGTGGTTTTCCAACCACAGCCTGAAGGTTTCAGTCACACCCCATAAAGATTCTGGAGATGGTTTTCCAGCCATGTGACTGTCCAGTCATGCCCCATGATGCTGCTGGAGGTGATTTCCCAACCACATGTTAGAATTCCATTCACATCCCATAAGATGTAGACTGGTTTCCCAGCCACATATCCATCTACACCAAATGATGGTAGAGGTGGTTTCCCAACACAGTATCAATGTTCAGTGATACTTCATGAAGTTGCTGGGGGTGGTTTCCCAACAATAGGGTGGATGGACAGCCACATGCCATGAAACAGAGATATTTTCACTCTGACAGGCTGACTGCCCAGTCACCCTGCTGAGAATATTGTGGAGGTGGTTCCCCACAACACTTTAGAGACGCAGTCTAAGCCCATGAAGATGTTGGAGGTGGTTTCATCACCACATGGTGGGTGTCCAGGCCCAGGTGAATAGAACACCACTTGGTTGACAATGAAGAAGCGAGCCAGCAGTACACAAAGATCCCAAGAAGATGTATCAACTTTAGCGCCTTCGTCTTGTTTGCAAAATATTGAATATAACGTTTCAAAACGCAATTTGAAAACACGTGAAGAGGCTTCTCATGTTTGGGCACTTCCTTTCAGGGGAGTTTATCACTACACATCTTGGCATCATCCCACCTCCTGTACCCATCAGGTTGACTTTCAGGTCCCTTCCAGGCCTCGGTTTCTCAGTGTCCTGGGCTGGTGCTCCCAATACTTTCCCCAGCTGGCTCAGCTGCTGACTTACCTGGCACTGTGGCCAATCTAGCCTGCTCCTTGCACTCAGCCTCAAAGCCTGCTGCTCCCAGGGCATGGTGGATATATATCCAAAGCAGGGAAGCATTTTTTGCCCAGCACAGGGCTCACACTATGATGTTAGAACCAAAATGCGGATACACAGGTGGCCAGGGGAAGCAGAAAAAAAAAACAAAAAACAAAAAAACAGAAAGAAAAGACAACACAAGGGTTTTCTCTTTTAATTATTTACCAGTTAAAAAAGAAAAAAAAAATATTTTCTTCACCCTTGTTTCCATTTACCAAAGTTTAGTGGGAAAGAAGTTTGTTGAGTGGAGTTGTACTTCCAGCCCAGAGCCAAGTACCCCGCTCTGCTCTGCAAATCATGAGGAGCAGGGCAGAATCCTTCAACCTGGGCAGCGGCCTGGCCGTGTGGTTGTCACTGCTTCTTTTTGCTGGAGCACTCACACCTGCCTGCCCTCTTCTCCTCCATCAAAGGAAGTAGGAAGATGCGACCACAGGAGGCAGGGCGAGGTTACAGCAGGACCCAGGAAACATGCAGTGAATCTGGCAAAGCCACAATCACCTGCTCCTATTGCACATCTAGGCTCAGGTCCCCCATCCTGAGCAGTGGACTACACAGGAAATGATTTTCCAACTCGAATGGGGGCTCTGTTGGTGTGGGTCAGGTTCTCAAAGGGGAGGAAGGAGTGATATTGTGTGGCATCTTCAGTAACAAGCATTTACATATATAATTGCATGAGGGGGCAAGGTAAAAGCTTTGCCGCTATGAAAAAAAAAAGATCATGGGGTGTGGATACCTTGGGGCCCTGTAGTCACCTGGGCCTCTCCCCACTCAAGTTCCAAAGCTCAAGAATGACTGACTCTTTCCACCATCAGTAGATCTTCTGCATTAAGATGGAAGAGCTGCATCCGCTGACCACACAAGTCCCCCTCCCAGCTATATGACCCTGGCCACTGAGGGTTGACATCCTTTCCTCACGTCTGGAGAATGTGACATTGCACGCTGAGAAAAATCTTGCACACTGTTTCTCCATGAAGTAGCAGCTGTTAAGTCTCTTCGAATTTAACTTTTAAGTATTTGATTCTTATTCTTCTCATTATCAATGAAAATGGAATTGGACAGGAAGTTGTTAATGGACATTACAGATAGAATAAATCCCTCTGGAAAAAAATGGAGGGGCTGTGGGAGAAGACTGACTTTGATTTGGCAAAGCTGCAAATTTTTCACCTTCATTGGCTGGAATGAAGCTGCTGGGTGAAGAGAAACCTAACTGAGCCGTTGGCAAGAATAGCAGGCTATGAGAGACAACAGGTCACACACAGCATTGTACAAACTGTGGCACTATCAGGATGAGAAGGGAGGTCTATGACACCCGCCAGGAGCAAGCTTTTGGAACACTGCTTCCAGAGCTTCTATCTGTCCTGCAGAGTGGCAGCATCCAGATATACCAGAGTGCTTCTTTTTCCTCCTCTTCCAATTCTGACAGGTTCTCATTTAAATAACTATGTACACACGTGAGGCTGGTCTGTTATGTGAGGGTCCTTCACTTGAGGGTCCTACAATGGCTTTAGAGAGTTGGTTCCAATAGCCTTTTTGGAGATTTACTGCTCGGGACCAAATCTGCAAGGAAAGAAAGGATAGCACTGCAGTAGGAAGATCTTCATGATGGAAGCATCCCAATGTATAAGGGACTGAGTTTTAATATAATATCCCCACCCATTCCTTGTAGAGCCTTGGGCTGCAATCCATCCATTCTGTACTTGGCTTCTCTGTCAGTCAGAGGGTCCCAGGCCCAGCAGCAACCCTAGAAAACAGCCCGTACCTGGCTCTGATAAGGACAGTTTCTCAAGTTCAGCTTCAAGTTCAGCATCAGAGATCCTAGGCACACTGTTGGTGTAAGACTGGGGTCTATCAGGCAGTTCCAAAGGTTCTTTGGTGGTGTCCTGAAGGAGGATGTCCAACTCCTTCTCCAGTTCCTCACTGTCAAACTCTGGGAAGAAGAAACAACAAGAACATATTAGCTTTATGGAGGAAATGCATCAATGAATACCAAACTAAGGTTCTAGTTTTAGGATTTTCTGAAACCCAGCTCAGCTTTACAAAAATGCCCAGGCCTCCTTGCAGGTTAAAGAGTCACAAGTGAGGAAGCGAAGGGGACCTTCAAGCAGATCTTTTTCCATAAGCAGACCTAGATTATCAGGGAGACAAAAATTCTGCTGACACCACTGAACTGGCCCTGATTCCTTTTGCACTAGGACCATGACAGGGGACCTATGGCACACACACTGCAATGTGCACATATGGGCCCCTCTGTGATAACATCATGAGTTGTTGTTTCTAAACTAGAACCTCAGTGTTCAGGTTTAACTGCAGTATTGGCATTCTGTGATAATCAAGTGGGTTTTGGATAGCAGTTGGGGCACCTGTTTCTAGTAAAAGGTTCGCCATCACTATCCTAGAAGGACCTGCCAGCTGAGCCTTGCAAGGAAGGGTCGCTGAAGCAGAGAGGACCATTGGGACGGTAGATCTAGGCAGGAATGGCAGTTCCCTCCAGCCACTCCTGTGAGTGACCCCCATGTAGGGGCCTCCCACATCAGGGAAGTCCATGAGCAGACCTGTCACAGCACAAGGAAGCAAGACCTCTTAGAAAGAAAGGGAAGAAGAAAGTGTCACCCTGGCAACTCACCTAAACCGTTGGTTACGCCACCAGCCAGAGTCTGAGAAACTTCATCCTGGGTGTCACACAGCTGGAAGAGACAAGTGCAAAGCCCTGAACTAGGAAGGATGGTCTAGCACCCTAAGGTCTTTAGAGGAACACAGTGTTACAAGGCTTCTGAGAGTCAGGGAAAGGCTCTTCAAAGTCACAAGGTCAAGGCTGGGAAAGGGGACTGCAACGAAGTCACGGCTGTCCTCTGTGACTTGTTTTTGCATGTGCCCCTCCCCAGCCCCTTCTTGTACCTCTTGGATCTGATCCACCAGGCTCTCTGCCTTCTCCACCGTGACGTCCTTCATGGACAGCTTCAGAGCTCCTACCCCAGCCTGGTAGGCATTGAAAACCTAAAGACAAGGCCCAGTTCTCAGTGCAAAGGACATTTCCAGCAAAATCTAAACAATCATGCTTAAAACCCTGAAAGCCTGCTTTGGGCAGTTTTGGGCACCAAATTCACACCCACACAGGGGCCAAACCTCCCAGAGGAAACACAAAGGTAGCCTAGCTATGCCCTGATAGAACTGAGTTCCTTCCCAACAGCACAGCCACAAGGCCAACGTAAGCTGTCAGCCCGAGGGGAGGGGAATGGCTACCATCTGGTCAGTCTGGGAGGCATAGATGCGGTCCAGGATGCCTTGAACAGTGTCCAGCTTGGCGTGCAGGGCCTCAATGCGCTTCTCTGTCCGCTGCTTGGCCTTGAGGGACCTTAGTGCCTGGGGGCATGGAGATTTAGGTTAGGGCTAGCCAGAGTTGGCCACAAAGCAAGAGGAAGGCAGACCCTCAGGTGGTAAGATCACACCAGGCCTTCTCTCTCATATATAAAATAATCTGTTGCTAGGCATAGTGCCATAGGCCTGTAATCCCAGCACTGGGGAAGCTGAGCCAAGAGGATCAATGTAAGTTCATGGCTACATAGTGAGTTCAAGAACAGCTTTGACTACATAGTGAGATCCTGTCTCAAAAAGTAAAACAAGCTGGGTGTGCTGGTCATGCCCATAACCCCAGCACTTGGGAGGCTGAGGCAGGAGGATTGCTGCAAGTTCATGGCTACATAGTGAGTTCAAGATCAGCCTGAACTGCATAGTGAAATCCTGTCTCAAACAGAAAAATAAATACATAAAACAAAACAAAACAAGCTATGGACTTTGGGCCACCTGTAGCCTCTGCTCCTGATATCCAAGAAGGCCACTCAGAACTGCTGGGCACCCCTCCCTGCCAGCCCAGGACACTGCTACATGGCTACAGAAGAAGAGAGCTCACCAGCTGTTTCTTTCCTGCTCGGCAGGCCCTTCGGGCTTCCTCCTTACACCTGTCAAACAACAGACAGATGCAGGGGACTGTGCACTGGACAGTGGTGATGTCCCAAAGAGGCCCTGGGAACCACACTGAGTCTAAGTGATCTGGGATCTGAAGATCAAACCCACTCCTCCCCGTGGCAGGGCAAGGAATCGACCCCTAACCACTGCGATGACCTTGGCCATATCGTGCCACCTTGCGACAGACATGTGCTCTTCTCGCTGGGAGGAGGGTGAACAAGTCCCAATTTACTGTCTGTCTGTCCTCCTTTCAGAGACACATCTATGGCTGTCACCACAGATCCCATGCAGGCACCCAGGGAAGAACAGTGGTCCCTTGGGAAGATCCCTAAGAAGACACCGAGGGCCCCGCTCACTGCTATGTCTCCTGTCCCTAAGCTGACTCAGCTCAACAAATGCTGGCTAGACAGACACTGCCACAGGAGGACACAGTAACAGGTCAGTAACTGTCATCAATGGGACACATTCACATAGGTCCCGCTCCTCTGTGATACTCAGTGTTTCCCACGGTTTCTGGGGTTAGGCTCCTCGGACAGCCCGCTGGGGAGGAGCTACCCACCTCTCGGCCTCCTGGGACAGGGACTCCACTTTGCGTGAGAGGAGCTGCTCACTCTGCATCAGCTGGTACACCCCAACATCCACGTCATTGACAGGGGACACCTTGGCGTGTGGCCCCCGGGCAAACTTCACAATCTGTGGGACAGGAATGTGTCACTGCTGCCCCTCCCTGAGGCCCAATCAAACCACTATGTGAAAGGAGTGAATGAACAGGGCTCTGACCTTCTCCCCGTTCTGCTCGAGGACCGTGACCCGCTTCTCCTTCTGCAGCTGCAGCAATACCAAATAGAAGGTCCTCTCATCGGGGCAGGAGTTGGCGCACAGGGTGCTGAGCTCCGACAGGGCCACCACAGGGTGGGAGGACAGGGGCGAGTGCTGGTACAAGCGATACACCTCCTCAGCCTTTTCCTGCAGGAAGGGCAAGGACGCTCACAGGCTTGGTCGCCACCAGAGGAAGGGTGAAACCTGGCCCTGAGCTTCAGAACTAGGCCCGGTCAGCACAAGAGTCAGGGAGCAGCATCCCCATCCTTCCTAGAGCGGTGACATCTAACAAACAAAAGAGCCTGCAAACTCTGCAGGTGAGCCATGACTGCACGAACTGAGGTACATAAAGTGGCAGCTGCCAGCTGGCAGGTCTGCCTGGACTTCCTGTGTGTGCCTCTCTGTTGGGAGCCATTGAAACTGGAAATTGAACACATATTCATGGCTGGGGCAAGATAAGATAATGGTTGAGGACACCAGGCTCCAACTAACTAAATAAAGACTGCAGCTCAGGCATTTCACCCCTGTAGTGAAATGCAGATAGAGATCTTCTCCTAAGATACCTCTCCTTGTTAATGTAATTTGTTGCTTGAAAAGCCCTTGAACCACTCCCAAGGTCTGTTCAATTTCCTGCATTTTCCACTCTAACCCCCTAAGTAAATATGGGCAATCCAGAAACACTCTCTTAGCCACAAGAGTCCTTGAGCTCTGTAGAGGGTTTTGATCCTCCTGGAGCCCTAAAATCATACCACTTATCATACCAGTAAATAAATGCCCACTCATTTGGGAGATTGGGGATCTAGGCCAGGTCTTTGATATCTCCCCATAGCTGTGCCCCTCAGGAGGAAGAAGAGCTGGGGTGTGGTGGAACTGGCCACGAACCAGAGTGCAGCCTGACTTCTGCTAGTCCATGTGATCCTACACCCCTCAGGCTCACAGGTCCTCAGCATCCCTCTCAAAACTGGAAGAGCCACATGGATGAGAAGATACCTACATCTCCTTCCCAGTCCAGTCTCTGCATTTCTAAGGCAACTGGCAAGGCCACAGGCAGGGATGCTACTGAGTTTGTAAAGGATCTGAAGAGCAGAGTACATGATGAGCAGAAGGGCAGGGTTAGGTCTTCCGGGAGAACATGGTGGACAGAGAGCAGCACCTCGCAGGCTCTCTGCGAGACCCAGCTTAGAATCCAGGAATGGCGCAGAGTGAGGAATCCTAACCAAGAGGAGATATACCCTGCTGACCCAAGAATGAACTGGGCTGAGAGAAACCAACTGGGAATGCAATCCTGGTGCTATAACAGGAATAGGTAAAGCCTCAGCATGGAAGCTGGAGCCCGCGCCATTGGAAGCCGCGATTTGGGTTTTCTGCTGCCGCTGCTGCGTCTGAATTGGCTCGGCAGGGAGAGATGCACGAAAACTCTGAGAACAGGAATCGGTAAATGGAGTTGAGAGCTGGACAGGCGGGCGGGGAGCCATGCATCGACCTGCAGTGAGTTAGGGAAACTGGGACTCTTCCACGGTCTAGGAGGCTCCAACAGAGGACATTCTGGGACCGGGCAGACTTGCCAGAACAGGGCACTGTAGTGACTTCAGTCACATATCCCCCTCTCAAGCGGGATTGGTGAGCAGTGCCTAGCCTATGTGATGCTGCAGGCTGAGACCCAATAGGCTAGCACAACCCAGGTCCCAGCACCTGGAGGTGCACCCTAGTGGTGAAGTCTTAGGTAGATTGACCTGGAGGGGCGGGCCCCGCATAGGCTGCCCGGTCCGTAACTCCCTGGTGCGCTGCGGTGGGTGGGAACACCTAGCCAGCACAATTCAATCAGACTGTGGCTGACAGGGAAGGAAGCTGGGCCTCCTATATAAGAAACAAAGAATATGGGAAGAGGGAGCAACAAGAAAGGCTCCTCGGCCCCCAATCCTGAAAAACAGGCAATAGCAGACATGGCACCAATAGACATAAAGTGGTATCTCCAGAGCCTCATAGAAGAGTTCAGGAATGAAGTTATTAATGACCTGAAGCAAGACATAAGCAGAATAGTTAGAGAAATGTTAAGCACCACCCAAGAAAAAGCAGATGGTGGAATGGAAGAACAGAAAAAGAGGGGAGAATTGTTTGATGGAGAAAATAGAGAAAACACAGAATACATGAAGCAGGTTCAAAGAGTTTACCAGGAAACTAAAAACTCTATCAAAAACTGGCATAACAGCTTGAAAGAAACTAAAGATAGATTATCTGAACTGGAGAACAGATTTGTAATATGGGAGCATGAAATGAAAAACTTCTTAAAAGTAACAAAGAAACAAACAGCAACAATACAAAGACTAGAAGATGATAAGAGGATCTATAACTTAAGAATTAAGAACATAAAATAAGAGGTAGGGACACAAACAAATGAACTACAAAAGCTACTCACAGAAATAATCCAGGAGAATTTCCCTAATTTAGCAAAAGGTAAAGATACTCAGATGTATGAAGGATACAGGACCCCAGCCACCTGCAACCCAAACAGAGCTATACCCAGGCATATAATAATCAAAATACCAGAAATCCAATATAAGAACAGAATATTAAAAACCATCAGAGACAAGAAACAGATCACTTACACAGAACACCCATCAGAATTACAGCAGACTTCTCGGCACAAACCATCAAATCACGAACAGCGTGGGGGAAATAATTCAAGCTTTGAAAGCTAATAACCTCCAGCCAACATTGAGATATCCTGCACAACTATCCCTGGAAATTGATGGAAAAACAGGTGCTTTCCGGATAAAGAGGAACTAGGAGAATATGCAACCACCAATTCAACTCTACAGAGAATACTGCAGGACATTCTAAAAAAGAAAAATATGAAGAATCCAGAAATAGTGGCAGAGAGGCCACAATGAATGGAGCAGAAAACAAAATGAAGAAGACAAACTGACAACTAATGACAGAAAAAGAGCTCAACAGAAATGAGGCAGAGAAGATTGAATGATAGGAACAGCTATTTTGGAAACAACAAATAGGTAGTGCTGATTTGCTATCATCTTGTTTTGAAGTCCCATCAAGCTTTTGTTCTTCTGTCTCCATAGGTCTTAACAGGTTGTATCTTATTGGATTTTATTATATGTGATAGTATAAACAAAAACTTTTATAGACAAGGAGATTATACAGAAAGCATAGTTCATTATCTGTTAGTTGATTCTAAATACCCTGTAATATTGTCATTCTCTTGAATGGTTTTACATTGTTTTGGTATATTTGATGCTACAGTATATGAAGTTATACTCAACGATTTCAAGGAAAGAGACACTATGGTAACTACTTTTATGTCCAGATTATATTGTGGTGAAACACTATTTTGCTTAAATGGTTGTTTTGATCTGCACTGTTTTGTTATGCCCTCTTTTATCTCAATCTCCATTTTATTATTTACTTTTTTATTTTTATCCTTTTAATTAAGGGAAAAATAAATTTAAAAATAGCAGGATATATTATAGTAACCCACTTTGATTTTCTATTAACTTGATTTGAAGCCCTGTATTGCTCTCACCATCTTGTTTTGACTGATGTTCCTCTATTCTGTTTTGTTAATAGTACCAGGTTCGAAAGTTTAGGCAACAGCTGTGAAGATAGTGGGATTCATTATGACGCCCATTCTGGTTGACTACTATCTACTTTTGAAGACCTGTAATGTCTCCAATGTTTTGGTTTTGTTGGTTTCGTTCTTTACTGTTTTGTTCAACTTTATTATAACTGATGATATAGGCAATTTTATTTGAGATAGCGGGAGGCATTATGGTAACCATTGTTGATCACCTTGTATTATGTTTTTATATTATCTATTATGTCCACCCTTTTGATTTAACCAACTCTGTTAAGTCACATTTGGTTTTACTCTCTTCCAAAAAAAGTAATAAAAACTGTGGGAGCAATAAAACCCAAAATGTGTAATAGTCATTGTACAAAACAGAGGAAAAGAAAGTGCTCTAAACGGTTTAAATGCATGTATATTTAAGTGTGTAAGATAGACAATGGTATTACTGAGTTTTGTTGGATCATTGAACAGAACTGTTTGCAGTCTCACTGCTTGAATGTCTACTTCATATGCTTTAATTTTGTAATTTGAACAAACATTTCTAAGATGACAATATGTAATTCATTAACTAGTGATTTCCTACTGTTTATTTTTTTTTTCTGAAATTCTGTATGACTTGTACCTTTTTTCTGCTTTTTTTTCCTTTTTCTCCTTAAATAAAATTTAAAAAAAAAAAAAAGGAGGGCAGGGTTAGTGGGAAGCCAGGAAACGTAAGCTCCAGGAAAAAGTGCCAGTTTCCCTTGGACATAGAAATCACTTCCGCAGTCAGATGACCACTGAGGGGGGCCCAGGATGCTATGAAAATGCACAGAAGAAAGCCAGAGGATTCAGAGGTTTCTTTAAAAAGGCTGCACTGGGAATGGTTAGTTCAGTGTTGAGGTGGGACCAGCACACACATGGCCTTGGGGTCAACCCCAGCATCAATAAAAAAGGCTGCAGAGGTAAAGCCTGAGGGGTACTGCCATTACTTGGTGAAGCGGGTGGAGGAGGATCTCGGGAAGAGGGGCAGTCATGAGCACAGAAGTGAGTCGGTATGGCAGATTGGTCACCGGAGGGCACAGGAGAGGAGTGGTAGTGCTTCTACGTGATGCAAAGAACACTCTGACCCGCTGCACTTTGTCCTATGGCAGGCAGGCCATCACAGGAGGGACCAAGCAGCTAGACAGAAAGCAAGGACTTTAGAGCAGTGACTGGAGGCAGGTACCAGTTATGCACGAGAAGATATGGGGCTGACCAGAGAGAATCTGTGAATGGGGGAGAGAAGGGCAGATTCACGCAAAACACAGATGATAAAACTGATCACGTACAACGACAGAGTACAGGACTGAAGGAGAAAGAGGAAGGTCTAGGCTCCAACCTCGGCCACTGGTAGATATGTTACTGTTAGTAACAAACTCTGAAGGAAAGACTAAACATTCCTCTTGAGACATGCTGGTTGGGACACCTAAGGGACAGCCAGGACGGTAGGTACAGCAGAGAGCAGATGTGCAAATCTGAAGCTCCAAGAAGACACCAGGATAGAGAAAGAACTCTGAAAGTCTTCAGCACCTGGCTGGTAATTACG